GTAATCAAGTGACTTTACTAAGATCATACTGTTGTCTTTCATGCAGAGTGCAGAACATGTCACCTCAGCCCTGGGTACAACTGTGATGTCTGTTTATGGTTCATACAACAAAAAAACCTAATCATTTTGTCATCTCTTAACAATTACCTTGTCAATTAGGATGCCAATGAAGCATCAAACATTCCTATCCTAGTCAGTGTCCCTGGCAGCACTCTCCCTCCTTCTTTTCTTCCTTTCCAAATGCAGATATTTCTGCCAACTGTTGTGCTGAAGAAGTTATTAAGTGGTGATTGGATGACAAGAGTTGTGGGTAATGGAAACCTTTCCAGAAGGTCCTGGATGTCCTTTTATTGCTATGGGCATGCTTTGGGAAAGTTTCCAAAGTATTTCATCGAAACTGGGCTTTGGGATTCAGTGGAAGAAACCACTGGACAGGGTGACTAGGATTGAATTACTGTTCTGAATTCTGGGCATGTATTTTCCTGCCTGTTGTAAAAGGCTCAGTCGTCTTTCCCAGATACGCACCCCAGGATGCTAAGCTCTGGGCAGGACTGTGGTGTTCACACATTTACTTCACAGTGTGGTGGATATAGAGATTTGGACTTCATGGAGAAAAGAGCATAAATGATTCCTCTAGAAAAAAAGGATGTGAGCCTCACCTGTATCCATGGAGAGCTCGCAATCCTGATATTTTCATTAAATCTTTTCATTATGTTTAGAAAAGTCTGATCTTTATAATCAAAACGATTGTGGAAAATAATGGAGCAGATCACATTGCAAGGAGCACAGCCCAGGATGAAAGTGGGATCACAGGGTGACGCTAAGGAATAAACAATTTTAAGACACCATTTAAGTATACACGTGAAATGCTTTGTCTTTGAGATAACAGGTAAAGATGATTTTAGAAACTTTAAAGCAATCTTTTACCTACGAATTCCCTTAACAAAGTTTTGAACATGCATAAAATCAACATGTCACTTTTCCCTTAACCTGCATAAATTATTTCAGCCTAACTAGTTAAATAATGGTTTTTGAAAAAAAACACTTCAGTTCACATCTACTATCTTTACTTGTATCCTTTTCACCTGAAATGCCTGTAAATTTGAAGGAAAAAGAAGAAAACATTTCAAAAGGCCATTTTTATATCATTTAATAACAAAGTTATTAGTGCTGAATATTATCTGTTTGCACAGCCTGTAGAAATCAAACACTGATAAAGAAGGAGAATAGTTAGGGACCTCAATATGTTTTTCTTTGTTTTGTTTTTTTTTAATGTAGATACTGGGGAATGAACCTAGGACCATATTATGCATGCTAAGCATGCATTCTCCCCTGAGTTATTTCCCTCTCCCCAAAACGTTTTTTTTTATAATGATATTTGAAAGAATCATCTCTAGAGTCACCACAGGGTAAGCTTAACAGAGCAAGATTGTGGGTGAATTCATGTATTTGAAGAAGAGATGTTAAAAAAAAAAAGCAGCAAGTATCCATGCTGTATGAGAAGAGAATCTAATACAAATGAACAATTACTATAAGATAGGGGTTTTTTTGGTCTAAAATATAAACAAAATGTAAAGTGTTGATTTCAAACGTAAATCCCAAGTGACACAAAAAGGGAAAATTGATGGATGGAGTTCTTTCATTTTTTTCATTTCAGTGTTAAGAAATTCCCTTGTTAGGAATTAAATGTTAATAATTTCCAATCAGCATCAAAAATTTATTTGCACAGAGGTGCCGTATGTGGTCTTCAGGGACATTGTTCTGTATATGCATCAATAGAATAGTGTGTTTTAATACATTTAAAATGTATCATTTAAATGAACATGAACTTATTTCCAGTTAAGAAATTACATGAGAGGAAAAATAATCTTTTTTTGGTAGGAGATCTGTGAAATAAAACTGATGCAATCAAATGATCGATAAAAATTCACACAACCAAAAGATCTGTGTAGAGAGATCCAACATTCACATGTATTGATGTACGAATTACTTGAATCAAAAATATACTGACAGAGTGACATCAGGAAGATGTTGAAATAGGAAGTCTTAGCGCTTGTTCTCCCATAGAAACACTGGTTTAGGAATTATAATGGACTATAATTCTTTAATGAGATTTTCAGAATCCAGTTAAGTAGTTACACACCATATGCAAGTATATAACTAAGAACAATGACATTAAAACTTGTAGAAGTGCAGTTTCACTTTACCTGCATCAGCACTTCCCCCCAAGCTGGCACAACTCCGTGCTGGAAGACAATGCCCCAGGTTGTGATTACTCCACAGGAAGGAGAAAGATGAAGCATGCATCCAGTGAACCAGCTCTTCAGCTGGCTGCTTGAGGAAATGGTTTCAGTCTTACCTCACTTGAGGTGCTGACAGAACTGGCATAGTACAGGGATGTCACGGACCACGGAGAATAAAGCAAAGTGAGGATAGTGGCTTGCTATCCCCAGCATGGCTTGGCGCAACCTAGAGAAGGTGAACCACTTCAGGCTTTCCTTCAGGGGGAAGGGAGAGGAGTGGAGCTTGCATCTGGCGGAATGGTATGTGTGTCATCTGACTCAGGCTGGTAAGGGGGCGTTTATACTCTTTGGATGCCATTGAGACAAGGGAAAGTGGAGTTGCTTGCCTCTGTTGAACTAGAGAAATCCCAGTGCTGCAGACAGCAAAGGAAGCAAGAGATCACTAGCTGCTGCAATGAATTTGGCAAGCTTCCCTAATTGTGAAATTCTACTCAAGCCCAGAAAAGTTGCATCCACTAAAAGAAATAGGTCGAGACCCCCAGAGTCTCTGGCTATGATGACTGGTGACGGTTTCACCTTACGTAAAATTAGCCCCTAAGGACTGGGAGAAGTGACAACTTTTTCAAGTCCCTGGATCCCAACAGAAAGTCACGAAACACAAAAAGAAGCAGGAAACACGGCTCACACAAAGGTACAAAATAAATCTCCAGAAACGGGATTCAGAGGAAATGGAGAATATCACACGTGAACAGAGAATTTTTTTGAAAACACGATAAAGGTGCTTCATAAGTTTAAGAAAACGATGCGTCAATAAAATGAAAATGTAACAAAGAGAACACATAAAAAAGAACAAAACAGCTGAAATTTGTTCAGCTGAAAAAGACAACAACTCACCTAAGGACTTACTCCAACACAGGCCATCTGATATTGTTCAATCAGAAGATCAAACGGAAAAAATGAAAAGGAGTGGAGGAAGCGTAAGGGACTTATGGGATCAATATGAACACTATGGGGAGGAGAGAGAGAAAGGGCAAGAAGCTTATTTGAGGACATGATAGCAAAAAACATTCCATATCTGGGGAAAAACTACTCAGATTCTAGAAGGACTACACACTCTAACTAGGATGAACAAAAGAAATCCACAGTGAGATACATTATAACCAAATTGTCAAAAGTCAGAGATAGAGAATTTTGATAGCAGCAAAAGTGACTTGTCACAAACAACAGAGGCATCATAAAACCAACAACAGATTTCTAGGCAGAGACGTTGCAGTCTAGGAAGGAGTAGGATGATATATTCAAAGAGCAGGCAAAAAAGAGTTGCCAACCACAAATACTATATCTGGCAAATACTTCTTTTGCGAAAAACGAGGAGAAATAAAGACTTCCCACAAAAGCTGTGGGCGTTCATCCCCACTAGGTACGTCTGAGAAGAAATGCTAAAAGGTGTCCTTAAAGTTAAAACAGTAGGATACTGGACAGCAACACAAAACCATTATGAAAATATAAAGCCTGCTGATAGAGGTAGATATATGGACAAGACCAGAATACTGTAGTAATGCAGAAGTGGTGCATAAACCACTATTGAGAAAAAGAAAAAAATTGACAAATCTTTACCTAGACTATCTAAGAACAAAAGAGAAAACTCAAAATCGGAAATGAAGAGGAGCCATTACAACTGATACCACAGAAATCAAAAGAGTTGAAGAGACTGCTATGAACCATTATACACCAACAAATTGTACAATGTAGAAATGGATACATTTCAAAAAAGAAACATACAACCTGTTAGCACTGAATCAGGAAGAAATAGAAAAGCTGACAAACCAATAATGATAAGGTTGTCAAATCAGTAACCAAAAACCACCACCAACAACAAAAGCCCAGAACCAAATGACTTTAGTGATGAATTCTACGAACATTTAAGGATTGGCAAACATTTGCAATCCTTCTCAAACTCAAAGAAATGCAAATTTATAAATGTCTGTGATATACCACTTTATCAAAATGAAAAGTAAAAATCATATAATCATCTGAATAGAGGTAGAAAAAGCATGACAAAATTTGAAATTCTTTCATGATGAAATCAGTTCTAGACTCCTTCACTCAACATAGTAAATGCCATATATGACCAGCCCACAGGCAATATTGTACTCAGCGGTGAAAGATTGGAAGCTTTTCCTCTAAGATCAGGAACTATGAGAGTACCCATTCTTTTCTTGTTTTGAAATTTTTTTTTTCATTTTTTTTTCTTGGGGTGGGGAGGTAATTAGGTTTATTTATTTATTTTGTATACAGGTACTCTGGATGGAGCCCAGGACCTCATGCATGCTAGGTACATAGTCTACCACTGAACTATACCCTCCCTCCCCGAAAGCTCCCATTCTTACAACCCCTATTCAACATAGTACTCCAAAAGTTTTAGCCAAAGCAATCATTCATGAAAAATAAAATGTATTCAAAGGAAGAACTAAAAATGTCTATTTGTAGATGCTACGTATGATCTTATATTTAGAAAACCTTTAAGACAGCACCCAAAACTGTTAGAACTTATCAATGAATTCAGTAAAGTTACAGGATACAAAATGAACATACAAAAATTATCTGTATTTCTATACATTAACAATGAAGTCTCTGTAAAAGAAATAAGGAAAATAATCCCATTTTTAAAAGCAATAGAAATGATAAAAACCTTAGGACCAAATTTAAGCAAGGAAGCAAAAGCTCTGTACACTGATGTCTCATAAGACAGTGATGAAAATAATTAAAGAAGGCACAAACGGATGGAAAGGTATACAGTGTTTATGCATCAGAAGTATTAATATTGTTAATATGTCCCTACTACCAAAAGCAATCTGTAGATTCAGTGGCATTCTGATGGCATTTCTTACAGAAATACAAAAAATAATCCTAAAATCCATATGGAATTATAAAGAGACCCCAAGTATCCCAGAAGCCCTGAGAATGAAGGAAAAAGTTAAACACATGAAACTTGCTGATTTCAAATTCTGTCATAGAACTAAGATATCAAAACGCTATTGATTGAACTGGCTTAAAAGCAGACACATAGACCAATGGAACAGAATTGAGGGCTCAGAAATAAACCCACACATTTATTATCAACTGATATTTGACGAGAGAGCCAAGAATACTCAGTGGGGAAGGACAGTCTCTTCAGTAAATGATATTGGCTCTCACCACTTCTATTCAACATAGTATCCGAAGTCCTAGCCATAGCAGTAAGAGAATAAAGAAATAAAAAGGAACCATATTGGAAGGGAAGAGGTAAAATTGTCACTCTGTGCAGATTACATGATACTATGTGTAGAAAAACATATAAAGACTCCACACAAAGACTACTAGAACTGATAAGGGAATTCAGCAAGGTAGCAAGATACGTGATCAACATACAGAAATCTCTTGCATTTCTTTACACTAACAATGAAATATTAGAAAAGGAAAGTAGAAAAATCCCTTATAACATTTTTTCAAAAAAAATAATAAAATACTTAGGAATAAACCTGACCAAGGAAGTGAAAGACTCATACACTGAAAAGTCTAAAACACCAATAAAGAA